AACCATTTGTAATGCTCAACTGCTAGAAATTTTCCGCTTTTAATTTGCACAATTATTTGGTGGCGGTAGTTAAGGCAGCAGGTCAATTCACAACTGAGGGTCAGCACAAATCAGTGAACTATTTTTGAAGCATAACATTGAGCGAATGGAAGTTTTGTTATCCACAGATTGCCAGGTTTTGAAAAGGAAGCAGGAACGCGAAATTCATGGCATACCTCGGAATGGTACCAACATGTGCCTGTAATTTTCACACCCCATCACTATTATTTCAAAATGATAGGTTCACCTTCACACTGATGTACATCCCATCACCATCAAAAATACTGGGATTCGGGAATGCACGTATGATGAGGTCCTTCGAAGAAGTGACCCAATGTGTGTTGGACACATTCATCGCGTACTCTCGATGAAGCCTATTTGAGTGAGGAAGGTTAAAATCTCAACTGGGATGCAGTTGGGTGCAGTTGAGGTATTGGCACAGCCCAGTGCGATTTTGCCCAGCCCCTCTCGCCCTCTCGCCTGCACAGGTTGCTCGTGAGCGCAGTGGTGAGGCGGACGGCACGTGCGCGTATCGATCGGTTTGGCTGTGGCGCGCGTCCGTGCACGTGCTCAAGGCGGCCAGAGGTTGCGCGCCAGATGGAGGAGGGCTGATTGCTTGCGTGCCTGCGCGTGGCTGCTGTGGTCGTGGGCAGATTTGCACGTGGGTTGTGTGTGCGTTTGCGCGTGTGTGTGCTCACCTCCACCATCACTCTCACTAACCGCTCCCTCCAGCTCTCCCGTTCTCGGCAAGCCTCAGTGGCTATCACGTTGAACATCATGCAGAGACAGCAATGGTTATGGACGTTAGTCATGATTTGCCGTATTCTGCTCACAAACTGTACTCTAGCATCACTTGTTTTACTTTCGGGGTGGTCGAACTCCGAGATCGTAGTTGTGGCCACGCAATACCTCTCGCACCTTGGGCTTTGGAAACGAAGCTAATTTCACAAATTACAAAGAGGTTATAGCCCCATCCACAAACCTTCAGGGGCACCTGAACGTGAATAAGTTCAATCAATACTACGTATTGTGATTTCGAAACGTTAATCCGGTAGATGCATGGAATATGACCCTATTGACGATTGAACGTTATCCCATTTTCCAGTGGATTATGCCCATAATCGAATGAATTTATTGTCAACTCCATTTTTTGGATAGGAAACGCACACAAACCAATGCAAATAGCGAAAATATTTCACGAAACTTGAATAATTTAGTGAATGCATCCAGTGTGAATAAACATCTGTAGAAAAGAGGACTAAATGAATAAGAAACCAGCATATTTACTATATCGCCTCCTCATAAATATTGGTAGGTGTTATTAGTAAGCGTGAGGTGTCAACCGCCACCCTTCTCATAATGCCATTTTGGTAGAACGACGCCGTTATTGAAAAAGAACCACTCAGAAGGAAGTGCCGCTGTTATTTAGTGATATTCGAAAATACATCAAGGATATTTCAAAAGGCTTAGTATTGGTTCACATGATTTATTTTACCCAACCAAACGATGCTTGTGTAAGTACTGGGCAAAAATTTTGGTGATTTGAAGCATCCTCCATAGGCTGCCCAGATGTTCTGCCAGCAGTGGCACATTTGCCCGTCCACCGGTTCCTTGTGGTGCTTGAGTGAGGTGTACTCGAGAGGGAAACCCCAATGCTCCCCTCCGCCATGCACAACCTTTCCATGGCGTGTGCTCAGCCTCGCAGATGCACGGGAAGGGCGCACGTCCGCGTATGCTCGGGCTTGTCTATTGATTATTTCGTGCGCGGCAGAGCGTGCGTCGGTACGGCCACATGCCTGTGTGGTGTGTGCGTGGATGCGTGTGTTTGTGCATGCGTGCGTGAATGCGCCTGGGCTCAAAAACCAGCGTGCGCACGTATGAGTGAGTGCTTGTCACCAGCATTATCCCAGCGCTGCCACCATCGTCCCCACCCTTGTGATGGGCAATCCACGTGCTCTCCCCCCCACTCCACTTTACAGACTCAACACACCACATGCATGCCTAATGCACGATGCTGACTGTCGCCTGATTGGTTATCCCGACCCCATAGTGCTCAGGCGTGCGTGTGGGTCTATGCGTACGCACACACGGTAGCGTGCTCTTCCCTCCTTTCACCCAACTTCTCCCCACGCTGACTGGACGGACCGGACATTTGGCTCGACTGCGTGCTCAACCTAAAAAGCCGAGTAATTTAGCAAATGCAAACTCCAACTTCTCATAATAAATTGAAATGTAGGGTACGAGATAATACCGATTTGTCCAGAAAGAGTTCGATTCGAGATCATGGAGTTGCAGCCATCCATTTAATCGCCTTGGATGTTCTCAGTTTTGTAGACTGCTAAGTCATTCCTACGGGTTTCCTGTTTGTACAGTACTCCACCGTTTCATAAAAGTGTAACATTTCAATGCGCAAAACACAGAGATTGGGAATTTACTTATTTTGCATAACCACGGCTGTGAGGCATGCGGCGTTACTCAAGCAGTCGTAAGAACCTAGCTGCCTATTTAGCTATGCTGCAAAGATTTGGGAGTTCCAGCCGAATTAACCGGGGGTTAAACAATGTACAACCACCCGCGGTACACAAAGGTTAATAATACAAAACCGAAAACTCTAAAAGGGTAAAACATGCGTAAATATGAACATTGGAAGGTTTCAAGCTTCATTTTCTAGCCGGTTCTTGTGTCATCTCTAGTGATCCATTTACATTACGCCGTTGGAGGCAGCGTTCACTTGGGCCTCTAAATAGGCGCCTGATGATGATGATGATGATGATGATGATGATGATGATGATGATGATGATGATGATGATGATGATGATGATGATGATGCAAGTCAGTCTTTAATTTGAGTACTTGTAAAATGGAAATGGTTGACTAAAAAATAACCATGCAAGGCAATGTTGACAAGATCAAATCCTTTTTACCAATCCGCTTAAGGTCTATAATGACCCTAATAGTTCGCAAATTGGAAGAAATGAGGTTAATCAAAGTCTAACTTGTCAACTTTTGGAAAAATCAATTGTCTTTTGGGTAGTGGTTTAAAACATTTTCCCTGATACGATTGTAAAGTGATAGGGGGAATTTCCACGGAATAAAGGAAAATTTGATTGAATTTGGGGCGAATCATAGTATAAATATCAGTCAAGCACCAGCGCGTGCCGTGACCAGCGCGAAGAGATGCGAGTCGAAAGGTGAACGCGCCGATGGTGGTTGAATACGGAGCACCATGTCAACCAACGTGGCACACATCTTACCAAGTTCAGGAGGTGAGTCCGGGCGACAGCACAAAATCACGTGCTGTGACACCTATGACGCATACACACGCACACGTATGCACACACCTACACACACACACACGGGTTTAGATGCGCACGCACAAATCGATCGGACAGAGGCCATGGCCAATGGTCAAGATGCGACAAAACAAAGCTGCGACAGCTAAGCTCACTCCTGCCCTCGGAATTGTTCAAATCGAAATTTTGGACTGAATTCGCTCAAAGGGGCCTTATTCGGTAACCACATTTCCCCATATCATTTAATATTTCAAGCGCTGCGTAGGGTCGAACTGCGCCTTCTCCGAGTTCTGGGGGAATTTAAGACTTAGAAAACGAGAGGTATTTTGGACAGCTACCCCTTACAGCCATGGTTGTCAATTAATCCTTCCCTATATCCAAATCCACATCGATGCAACTTCGAGTGGAGTGCGAAATTTATTAGTCAGAATGCCTCACCGATTGAATGAGTAAAACTTAAAGAAGCATTCACATAATGCTCAGATTTACAACTCGCATTGCAACACCTTAAGTCAAACTGTAAAATCAAATGGGCCTTCTTGACGCGTTCAAAGCAGGCATCAGCACTTGAGTGCAAATAAGCTCTGTAATGAGACCAGTGGGAATTGAAACGATCATTGCACGTTAGTATCGGTAGGCAGTACCAATTGCCATTCTAGCACATAAACCTCATGAAATGCAATGTACTAACATCGACCAGAATTGTGTACGGTTCAGGACCAACTCTCCTGTATTCCGACATGATGCCAATCCACCTTAAAACGCACCGATATCACGCGCTATTAAGATGGAAGCTTCGTTAACTGACGATTCGCTTATCGGTGGGAACACGCATGTACACAGAGAGCAGTGCTAAGCACACGACTCACCTTGGTTTCACAAATTGAAGATTCGGCATAACGTGGGCAAGGCAGCACACAGTGGGGATCGAAATCGAGACGTTCAATTGCACACACCAAATGGCATCACCACTCACGTTTGGTCGCGGAAAAGTGCGTTCACGCATGCACGCAAGCACATGGACACACACACATGCAAGTATCGATCCTTGAGCAGCACTCAAATAGGTGTCCGCCAAGCAGACTTCAGCACACTTCACATTCCCGGCAGGCGTGCCTTCCACCAAGGCACGAACCATGGCCTTCACAGCAGACGGGAGGCACGAAAGTGTAGCCTAGTAGTAAAACACACCACAATGACTATACTCAAGGAAAACCGCTCCCCTCTCCCAAGCCTCTTCCTGGAAAACCGTCCAATTAAGGACGCGTAGGAGCTCAACCCACTTACTTGCAACTGATGTCAATCTGTCCCCTGAAACTAGCTAAATAAATGTATAGCGCATTTCCAAACGAGTCGGGTAAAAATTCATTCCCAAAACACGGAAAACTGAGATTAAAATACATATACGTGTATTGAAGGGTAACAAAAAATGAGATCAAAGATACACTGCTTCGATGGATACACCGGAATGTGTTTAATAAATGCGTTGTGATGTAACCGTCATGGTTGAGACACTCGTTATTGCACAGAAATTTCTACGAAATCTTGATGGTGGGAGACTAGAGATGCAAAATGGAATGTTTCCTGTTAGTCACAACAAACACGCCACATACACAACTTGAACTAAGTGGACGCCTATTATACAGTAAGTAACGTTTTAAACCCTTCTTAGCCCGGTTCCGCACCTTCGGTGGAGAGAAGTCGAACGGGCGTCACTGACTGTTTCAGCTCTGAGCGGCGGAAATGTTTATAGGTGGCCTGAGTAGGTGGCGATGGGGATGCGGAAACGGGAATCGGATCCTCCGAAGACTCTGCTTCTGCCTGAGTGTCAGCTCCCGGATCTTCCATACAAAAAGTATGTTCGGAAGTGGGAGAAGCATCGCCTTCTGACATATCCTGGGGATCCAGACCTGCAGGAATTAGCTTCCCAGAGGCCTGTGCGGCTGCTACACGTGACGTATGTAGAATTGAGCGTACATGGCGTTTCTTGTCCTCTAAACGAATGAATTTTTCATTGCAAATTTCGCAAGTGTAGGGCTTCACGCCGGTATGAAGTCGTTCATGACGCTCCCGACAAAATTTGCGATTGAAAGTTTTTCCACAATATCGACACTTGTAAACCTTGTGAACGGACTCCATTGCTGAAGTAATGGTTGACGTTGAATTGGTATTTGACAAATTAATCGAGGCAGAAAGTCCTGTTCTAGCTGCTGGATTTGGAGCTACAGGAGCTAATTTACCGCTACCTTTTTTGATAGGAAGCTGAAGACGAACCCCTCCACTTTGTGAAATTAAAGACGGAGGCTTTGCTTCACTAACTTTCATCTTCCGTACGCAAGTATTTGAGGTGACAAGTGAGGCTCTGGCTGCTTTCTCAGCCTCGGACGCTCGAAGCTGACCACGGATGTTCTCGAGAATCCTATCGATGGTAGAATCTGGAGACTCCTTCAAGGGCGGTTCAGATTTGATTTGTTCTGTTACTATGGTTCCCGAATCTGTCGTCAGGACAGGACTGTCATTTGTCCTTTGACTAACGGCATTCATAATTGGCGAATTTTGGTCTCCATTTGGAACAATCTTCGGACATGAAAGGAGTACTGATCCAGGCAGAGGTCCGGGAGAAATGGTTGGATTGCGTGGAAGAGTGCCAGTTACAGCGGCAACAGCAGCAGTCAGTGAGCTAATGTCCAGTGGTAATTGGGGAGCAGATGGTGGGTCAGAAACCGGTTTTGCATCAATGCTGGACGTCATAACAGGGGCCTCTGTAGCAAGAGTATTGGCGGTTTTCGAAATCAACGATTCGCTTGCTGAAGCAGTTGCTAATGTCTTGGAACGACTTAAGCCACGTAAAAGAGCCGTGATTGCTGATGCGTTATTCGGAGCTGGAAAGTTCCGGTTATTGGGATTTCCAATTGAAAGAATGGTGGCGGGAGTGCTATTTGTTAAGGAATTCGGCAGACTTCCGATCACAGTTAAAGTCGGCTGAAGTGTAGCATTAGTGGTGATGGGCAAATTAATAGAAATTGGCGCAGCAATGCTCTGTGAAATTGTACCACAACGAAGAAAATTTACATTTCCATTTTCAAGCGTTGTTGTTGCATCACCTAATGAAGAACCAGAACGAACATCATTCTGTTCAGAATTCAAACTTTCATCAGACAAAACATTCGCCGACTGTGACGGTTGAGGGGCTTGCAAAACGGGGGTGGCAACAGTGTTATTCCCACTGGCGGTAGCAGCCGCAAACGCCGCAGCTACAGACTTGCTAATGAAAACACTTTTCGGTGGCTGACCTGGCGTTTCACAAATAGCCGTCAAAAGACTAGAAGGGTTGTGATCAGCAGATAAAGAGGTCGAAGCCTGGAGATTCTGTCTAAGCATAACATCGGCAAAAGGAACTGAGCCTTGACCATTTGGAGCAATTCGCTGTATTAGTGATTGGTCGGTTAAAGATAATCCACAAGGGAGGTTAGTAATGAAGGGATTGACGTCAGGACTTTTTTGAGGATCCAACTTAAATCCCGCCCCAACCAAGGAAGCTAGTAATGCCTGTAATGCTCCGGGTTGAGGAGTTTCAGGAACAACTACTGAATTACTTGCCCTCAACTGAGACTCTTCGAACTCATTATGCCTGGCCTTTTTAGATGGTGTAGATTCATCCTCGTTCTTCTCGTCTCCACTCAAGTCAGTAGATGTCACGACGTCAATTAATGGGATATCACTGCTAGTTAGAAGTTGCCGACGAGGCTTGTTTGATTTACGTCTTCCGCGTCTTTCTTCAACTATTACATCCGCACTTATATTTCCTAAAGAAAATTAACTCAAAGCCGACTTACTGTTTGATTGGTTTTTCACGGAAAGGCAACCCAAATTGCTGGATAAAATCGGAGGAGAAGCGGATGAATGGCATTCCGATGGTTTTGTTTCCACAGATAGAGTGCATGCAGACTCAATTGGCGATTCAGTGGGTGACCCTACACCATTCGCATCCTCCTGACCATCGAGAGAAAAGTTGATTTTGACGAATTTTTCGCTACAACCATCCACACTGTATGAAATGATTCCAGAGACGACCAAGTTCCTTGAAAAAGTAATGTGTTGTGAGATTGCGTGTTTTAATCGCCAGACAAGCGAGTCATCTAAGCATTCACCCCCTTCCAAAGCCATCCCAGGAAGTGCGATAACTAATGGAAACTCTGAAAGTCCCGCATGGCCCTCAACAAGAACCGGTTTACTGTTATAAACAAAACTGTTCTGTTCGAAGTTCCTTAGAGAGCATTTAAGTTGTTTAGCTGCGTTTGTCAAGTAAAAAACAATGGCTCTAAATTTTATCAAAAAGCATGTAAGTGGAAAATATTCATGAGTGAAGTGAAAAATCAAATAAATGCAATAAAACTTCATCAACTTATTTTGTAAAATCATTATAGGCATAGGCTGGAAACTGTCAATCTTAAGGTAAAAAAAATGAGGATTTTTTAAAATTGTAGTTGACCGTTGCGTTTATTTTGCATTTTGCCAGAGTGTGCCTTCAATTTCTGTCACTTGTAGTCATTTAACTAGATTTCCAGTTTTTCCACTAGTTGGTTACTGTTTCTGATGTCTTATGCCATAGCTCAATTAAATAGTGTGGATTTTTAACGCCCAACTTACTTAGGCCACAAATATTCACCAAAGTTCTGTTTTTTATAAGATATTTTCAGTAAGTACTTCTGTCTCTATTCTAATATTGACATAATTACCTCAAGAATGCAAAGTGATGGCTACAGCTATGGTGTCATAAGTTTTCCCCCAAGTCGCAAGAAGCCACTGTAGCGTGTCAAAATATGCATTACTAGCGTACAGAAGGGCTGAAAGCCATGCCTCCAAGCAGAACTGCAGTATTTAGGGGGTCATGCACCTACGCATATTCCCACATATTTATGCAAAATAGCAAATCACCAAAAAGCGTCGCATTTAAGGTGAGGCAGATCTACTTGCTGATAAGATACAGTGCTAATTTCTTAGCACCATAGTGTGGGATAGCGTCCAACCTCATTAAATTTTAAGCCACCTTTCTTTTTCCAAGGTACAATCACGATGCTATTTTTATTAAGATGGTCCTATTCTCTTTTTCCTGAGGCTAAATGAAACAAGGAGCTTGAAAGTCAACGCCTTTGAGTAAGATCTTAAACATTTTTATATGGATTTTATCGTTAAGACAAAGGTTTGAAGATTTAGCAACGGATTAAACTTACTCAGCTAAGCTAGTTTTCTGAAGGATGGATTGTAGCATTCCAAACTTACCCTGAAGTCGCAATGAGGTATGGAGATGTGGAAGAATGGTTACTTGCTAGTATATAGAATGACTTGGGAGCTGTAGGCATGGGCGGGAGGTCATAAGACAAAACGTAAGTACAAACTGCAAAGCCAGTTTAATTGAGTGTACGTCGAAACAAGGACTGAACAACTTAAACGCAAATATGAAGTTGATTTCTAGCTACAGGGGAAGTGACCTCAACACCTTTTTTGGAGATTATGTGATAAGGTTTAACATCAATCACACTCTCTGATTGATAAATTGGCTGGTTCTATATTAAATCAAAGGGAGTTGTAGGTGTGGATTAGTTCCTTGTGGTATAGTAGTTCCATGTAGCGGTTAATGGCATACTAACTTATACTCGATTTAGTGGTTACGTTTGTGAAAATCCCATTGAGCTTTTTAGAGAAAATACGATGGAGTTTGATAGTTAAATATGCTACATCTAAGCTAGGGATGTTTGTAAACGCTTATTGTCAGTGAAACGAAAAATAACTAACAAAAGAGGAACAAATTTCGCAAATTTTTGGAATTCTGTCACACAAGTTTACAGAAATTTTTTAAAAACCTTGTCTATTCACCCTCTAGATAGTTTATTAAGCGTGCTTATCGAAGTTGCACCCAACTGCACATTTTCGGTCAGCTATCTAGGCACAAACACACAAGTTGAGCTATCCTTCCGCCTGAGAAACCGTCACAGTGGCAACAAAGAAAGCCAAGCGAGAGAACGTAATCGGTAAAAGGCTCACGGTCTACCAGCAAAGTAAGTGCGAGTGAGGTCATCAATCCAATATGCACATGGCATGCGTCTACGCCTCACAACCAGTAAGACTGCAGCATCCACAGGCCTTTAATTCTACCAACAGATGGTAGGAAAGAAGCCGAAATTAAGTGTGTTTCAAAAGGAAAGGGCAGTTTCCTTTGCCGAGTGATGGAGTGCGGTTAGGCTTTAGTGCTGCTTGAGCCTTCACATAAATCACGACCAAGTGTCGCCTCCGGGGTTCGTGCGCCCACAGCGGCAAGCAGAACAATGAACTGTACGAAAAGTAATCGAAGTAGGCTTGCTTTCAAAATTTGAACAGACAATAGAACAATCATCTGCGTCTTTGTTTTCCTGCTAAAGTGGTCTGAGATACCCCTCACCTTGAGATTCATGGGTTTTTTAATCACTTCAGCCATATTTAGATTTTGAATGCTTCCTCCATAGCATGGCGATTGTCAGAGCATACCGATCCTGGCTAAGAGACCCAAGGTAGCACTCTCACATCCTTGTAAGACCAAGTTTTACGTCTGATATAACACACGAACAGTGTATTAAGAATTGATCACTGCTTGCTTAAATGCGGCTTGATTTACCTCCTTGCCATCTTCGCTAAAACAATGACGCGAACAGTACCATCCGCATCGCTAAAACGTTGCGCCCTCTTGGTGGGCTCGCAAAGTGAAATTGGTTTGGAAAATCACCTAACATTTGAGGATAAGCCGGAACAATTTCCTTATGAAAGCTAATCAAGAAGACCTCGGTGAATCGCTTAAGAATAACACATGGCTCACACAGATTACATTGAGGAACTGGGTTAAATGCTGATGAAATAAGTTAATTTTGTCAAACTGTGAAAGTGAAGTACAAATTGTTTCAATGCACAGAGAGTGAGGGCAATTCTTGGGGCCAAAACGGAGAGATTAAACAAGTTTTTTCGCTATGAAGTAACTCTTGAGGGACCAAACTTGCCAATAGCCCAAAGCAAGCAACAAAAGTATTTGCAGGATTCCGACTACGAAAATCTTCCAATTGATGGCGTTGGTAGTCTGTCTGAAACGTTGTTCGCGTTTCTAAAAATAATGCAATTATGAGTAGTAAAGTGGTCGACACACTTTACGTTGCGTAGCCCAAGTCCATGCCCTAGAAGTGCGATGCTGTTAATGAAACGCGATATTCTAGGACAAAATTACTTCGTATTCACCCAAAATATGGTTCACCAGATCAAAACTGACCATGGAACTTGGATACGCTCTCTGAAGAAGCGCATTAGGGTACATGAAGCGGTCAGCTTGGCCGTAATGTCAGTGGAAAAAAATTAACTTTCATTATTTTGTGAATAATAGGGATAGATGGTATCAGCTATTTGATTTACTTACCGTTTAGTAGATTTCAAATTGATGGTAGTCGTTTTCATTACACATAAGTCACTTATATATCTCGTTTTGCCATAAAAAACCTTCACAGATATTACTTCGACTGAAACAGTGTAACCCCAAAAACAAGCGCATGTAAACGCCGTTGCGTTCTACAAACTCACTGGAGTGGAACATGACGCGTAAGCATTTCCGCGTGTGTATGCGTGAGTATACGTTCACTTGTGAGGACTCCAGCTATTTTAATAAGGGTAGGCACACTTTACCTCGCTTAATGCTTCTTTGGCATTCACAAAAGCCTTAGAAGTGGCATTATAGCATCAAACAAAATCTCATAGGAAGAAATAGAGCAATCAGGCCAGTTTAATTTACTAAGAAAATATGTGCTAATGTTATGCTGTCGCAGAAAATATAATTTTATATTACGGCATCGTCTTTGAGATACAAGAATATATGTATTATATGATAAAGTTAAATAATTGTCTCAATCGAGTTAGGTAAGAATAAAATAAAACTACAATGAAACCTCTCTTTGATTCATTTGCATAAAATCGTCTACAGGAAGGGGTATTACATATGAAAAACAAAAGCGATAATCTTTCAATAGCAAAAAAGAGGGATGAACATAATGGTCTATTATATCTAAGCTTCTTTGAACGCTCTGAAGCAAGTTAAAGAAAACTGATCGCGAACATCTTTCCCTTATCACCGTACTCAAAAGTTAGAAGGATCTGAAATACTTCGTTTCCAACCATTCAGGACGTAATGCACCGATATCTAAATTTCACTATCGCGAGGATACTGAAATGTAGTAACCAGAGGCTATGCTGGCAAATGCTCTAACAAATTAACCATTGAATTGGTTGGGAAGTTCTCACAGAAATGGAGTCAGCAGTCAAATAACGTTTCATTTGTAATACAGGTATGAGAACATGAATGGAGGGACACTAACCAAACTGTGGATTACTCCATGAATAGTAGTAAAACTAAAGAATGGTTGTTGCACTTCAGTGTATTTAATAAGCTCACCACGAATTAGTGTGGATCTTAAAGAGTAACTAAGTTATCGGTAGAAAGTTCATACCTCGACTTGCTCAACTACCACTAATTTTGAAAACGTTTTAAGATGATCAGATAAGACAACCACCATCGTAAACATAGTTGGACACGTTCCAGGCTGAATTGAGAAATCATAATATGGACTTAAGTGATACATCAGTTTCTTTAAGTCGCGTAAAACAACATTTTTAGGATTTAAATGAAGATAAGTGCTAAGATAAGTCAATAGATTATCTAAAGTCTAAAACAAATGAGCCTGGTGGGAAGTGGTAAACGGGAAAATACGTACTTATTTACTAGTACTAAGTACCACAAGATAAGCTCTATAACGCAAAGATCAGCGAAGTAGTACAGGTCATTAAATGGGGGAGAGCTGACCCTCGTTCATTTCCAAGTGATTAGAATTCAAACGAAGTAAAAAGTAGGGGCTAAACGTATGCAGTAGGAACGGGACATGCCATTGCATCAGTAAGATAATAAGGTATTTTAGGGATTTTAAAAATAAGAAAAGAAGAAGAAATCGGACGTTGTGCAGATACTCCAAACAGAATGTGTTATGATTTGGCAACAAAGAAGTAATGAACAAATACAATCATATCTCTGTACTTTTAAGTCCTTTTAATTGACATCCTGACAAAAATCGGGAAAAGATTTTGGGAATATAAGTGCCATAGGAGCGATGGTTTATGCCAACTTAGCCATATCGATTATAAACTAATCAATTTTGACTGAACAATGGTCAAATAAAGTAAGTACCTCCACCAATATGAAGCATGTGGGACTTACAACCATGTAATCGTGCCATCTAGTAATAAGATCCAAACTGTCCAACGCTCTTCTTACTTCCAGCTGAACGTTGGTATACTTTTCAACTAGTCCAAGAGCAGTATAGTTAGCTGCCCCTATGTTTTGGATATCGAGAAGAGTTTTCTTCGACTATTACGAAACAAGAACACATACCACCTGTGCTTTTTTATTTTTAAACCTCGTAGTAATAGAAATGCAGATCCTATGAATGCCAGGTTGATCACTTGTGTAGTAAACTTTACCAGAGTCAGTATATTCCTATACATTTATCAGTAAGTCCTAAATGGGATCCTCACTCGTGACAAAATCAAGGAAAGCATGGGGTCGTAAACCTCAACTTGAAGTTGAGGCCCATTTTCTGCTTCCTTATTCTTGCTTTTTGCTGAGAGAAGTTCCATTTTGTAGGAAACTAAGCGCAAAATTGGTAATAATATACATAAAATGTACCTCGAGTTAATACGTTGGATGCAACATCATTTTGGAAGCAGCTCATCTGGTTTGGGCGCAATTTAAGTGCAATGTAAGGATCGCCACACGTGAAAGCAAATAACATACAAAGCAAGGCCCCAGAAATTATCGACATTTTTGCGTTCCGCGTGGGTCGGTGAATAAGCCGTAACCGTGACAATTAAATTATCAACAAAAGATCCTCAAGTTTAAAACAATTTGAGTTGGGCAGTAGATTAAATGCGTTTAAAGCACTGAATGCCAAATCACTAAGACATAAAATGTCTGGTACATAGCAAAAGATACTGAGGCAAAGCTTGTGGAATTTTCTTACCATGACCACAATATTTTATAGAATTGAAAGCAATTCTGTCATCCGTTTCGATGGATTCATCATAAAGATGCAAAGTCCATTTAGAAAATACTTTATGATGGCTAATACGCTGCTTGGGTCTTAGGGTTTACAACAGTCATTTAAAACATGTTAAATTTAGCTTTTCAATCGCTCAAATGTTTTCTACATTTTACTATCATCTCATCACCTGAATTTATTTTCAGTGACATTTAAACAGCTTCGCACTTTTCACAGAGTTTGCATTTTATGCCTGATCGTAATGCCGTTTGGTTTACCTTGGCCTCCTCTTTAGAAACACGATATTTTCTGCTGAACTTTTTATAAATCCACTTCGTGTGCTAATTTGCTCAATAATAAATAAGCCTATTCCTTTTCCTATTATTGATGTGTAGCACCACGGCTGTTCTATGTGATCTCAGACCGGACCAGACCGGGGTGTCGGGGATTTGTTAGTAATGGTCGAAAGGGTTGGATGCTGCAGTCACAATCAGACGGTTTTAAAATCAAGTGGAAGCGAAGACCATGGGAACTGGAAAGCCCAATTAGTTAAACCTCTTTTTAACCGAGGCGTAAAATCACTGAAAGTGGGTTTATCTGGTAATCGCGGGTAGTCGTTTGCACCGTCGTAACATCACATTAAGAAAACAAACTACTTAGGCAGTTTTCCGCTTCGGGATCAAAAACATGCAATCATTTGCTTCATCATCGTTTGATTTAATGGTGCCCAAAGTTATCCACTCAAAGCCTTACAAGTTAAAATTGCTTATTGAATATCCGTAAATTCGTAAATTGGTTTGCGAAATCAAGACCTTCAAATCCCTCACTTTTCCTGGCGCACGTAGCCATCATTGGTGATGGTTTTTTTTTCGAGTAGTAATCCCATCAACAAATTAATGACACCCATTATAATTTTGTAGAACTGTGATGTTCCCCCAAATCTATGATCATGTAATGTTAATTTTAAAATTCCGATAACCAAGGGCCTTTATCTCAATAAAAATTAAGGGTATTAGCAACCAATTGTTTTTATCTAGGACTTCAATAACTTCTCTTGCGGTACCTAACATCAGCGTTTCGTCACTTTCTTCTTAACAGTCACTCGCATTTCCTGTCATTTTACTGTTCTCTGAAACCACAATTTTTCATTCTAATGCATTGCGGAAAGGGACTACCACTCCTCATCTTTTGACTCATGTTATTCGCCTTGAGGCAAAGTTCATCTCACCTAATTGAAAGTGAAAACCAATGTCACTGTTTCGAAAAATCCGAGAGGTCAACAAGAAGCAATTCATGCATCTACCCCCCCCCCCCCTTAGCTACTCATATTCGTCTATGAAACTGCAAGACTCCCCCTGTTACAAAAAATGAAGAAGGTATTTATCAGGGAAAAAATAGTTTCCACATTTAACTTTTCTTGAATATTGGAATGACGAGACTCCACCTAAGCAGTACTCGAAAAGCCATCGCGTGTTGCCATTATTTTTTAAAGGTCATGCCGCCTTCGGAGAATCGTATTGGGAATCACTGATCCTTATTTACCCATGGAGGCGAGATAACGTAGCGACATCAAGAGGACAATTAGTTTATTCCACTAACGATCATGATGAATATCAATCAAACAATGAGAATAAAAGAGAAAGGCTAGTCTAGGGCGCAATGTACATACATGTGGAGGTGTATAATAGCAGGAGTGAGAGGGGGAAAGAGAAAGAGCGGAGAGGAGCAAGGGAGTGAATGCACAGATATAAAAAATATACGCACAGAAGAGATGCAGTGCCGCAGTAAGGTGCGAGTGTGCGTGCACATGTATGTTATCAAGGATACCGCGATCACCGACGCATAGCAAAAAGGAGGAGGGAGACGACTATGGGAAAGAGAGAGGAGACGAAGGAGGGAGCAAAAGCGAGGATGCCGCCGCTAGTTCGCGGGTGGGACGGGCTGGGGTATTGGTGCGCTACCCCGTCACCCTCTGGTACCCAAATTTGGTCAGGGATTTCGAGCTTGCCCTCGCCTATCACTAAGCCCGCGTCGCCGTTCTGCTCATAAGGCTGGGGCTGCGACGCCGTTGGAGATGACGGTGCCGGAGGATGCGGCTGCGGGGACTGCGGAGCACCCGTCCAGCTGGGCAAGGGCTTGAGTCCCAATTGAACATTGAGGGGCTCGCGGCCTGAGCCCTCCTCTGGGGAGTTGGATTCCGTGTCCCAGTGAGTGAGCGGCACGCCAGGTGCTGCATCGAAGGCGATGTGGCTGATTCGGCACACTTGCTGCGTTGCCTCTGGGAACCCATACACGTTCATTGGCTC